CCGCCGTTTCCTGGTTGCCGCCCGCCATGCTGCGGCTCCTGCTCCCGCTGGCCGCCCTGGCCGCGCTCCTCCGGGCGGCGGTGAGTGCCCGCCTCGCCTCCCCCTCCGCCAAGGACACCCGGGGGCAGCGGGGCGGCTCGGAGGGGCGCGGGGGGCCGGCGTGGCCGAGGGAGGGCTGGTAGGGGCCTCCTCCCGCCGCTGGAGGAAGGCGCTTTGCCTCGGTCCTTTTTTAAACCATGAGCGATTTAGGGCTCGTGGGCGGCGCGCAGGGCGCGGGTGCCGGGCTTGTGGCTGCGCCGAGGGGGAGATCCCGGAGCCGGGGCAGGGAGGGTCCGTGCCCTTCTCCCGAGCAGGCCGGCCCGCCGGAGCTGAGGAAGGGCTGGCGGTGCCGCCCTCAGGAGCGGTGCTGCCGGCGCCGGGACTCCCTGCGCGCCCAGGAACCGTGGAGGCCTCACGGAGCAACGCGGGGCCGTGGGTGAACCGGTACCGACACTGCTGGTAGATCCCGTGGGAAAACTTGTTCGTCCTGTGGGTGTGTGAGAGGAGGGAAAGGGGTTTTTCCTGTTTTCTATAGATGCTGTTGTAGCCGCATTGTCCCGGGGGATGCAATACCACAGCCTAAGGATGAATCTTCAGGCTCCACAGTTGTGGTTTATGCCTCGAGTTCGCGGCAGTGTCACTCTCCCCTTGATAGATGTTGTAGTTGGATGGGGCACAGGTGGTTAAAGATGTATGAAAAGTAGAGCAACATCACGTAAGACCTTATGGAAGGGAAGACTGAATCACAATTAGTGTCATCTCTGAGGGGTGAGGTTGTGGCTGAGCCTTCCCAATATTTTGAAGGTGGCAGGCAAGAGGAATGGAGAACAAATACTCTGCAAGCTCGGTAGTATTAGCACTTTTAGGGGATTTAATAGGTTAGTTTCAAACTGATAAAATACTGTAAAAATACATTGTTTTGAGAATTTGCTGCCATGGGAGGTTGTAGAACCAGACAGTACTTAACAGATGAAAAAAACCATGTATTTGCCAAATTTAAATACATCAGGTTCATAAACAACATCCAGAAATGACTGTGCAAGGATTTGCCCTCTAACATCCCTAGTGTAGCAGCATTGTCAGCTGAAGGAGTATGAGGGAGCAGACCACAGACTGTGGCCAGAGTCCTGTCATTTCTTTAAAAACAGCATTTCTTACTGCTGTTGTCTAGACAGAGTATTGCATGGTGCCTAGAGCAATAGAGGACCTCTGGACCTGGAGAACCTATGGACTTGAATCCATACAGCATTTCTCATGCTCTTATCTTCCTAGCCCTGTGTGTTTTCTGTAGAGACGTGTAAAATAGCACTATTTCTCAAGAGTAGTTTGTAACAACGGAGAGGGCTTGAGCTGAGGCTGGCGGGCGCGATTTTTCCTTTATCAGCCCACAGTTCCCTGCCACAAGCAGTGAAGGAAGGGATCTTCTTAAAACTTGGTCCAGTTCTCAAAGTAGATCAGGGTCTTGCCATCACAGATGTGCTGCTGTTGTTTTAAATTAGCTTAAGGTCATATGCAGCAGATAAGCAACCTGGCAAACTTGGGTTTGCAGACTTCTGGGCTTAGGTTCACTGCTGAGCCCTACAGTGCTGCTTTTGTGCCCTAGTTCTGAGATATTTTTGGCTATAATGATTGCTTGCTTTCTCTAAGTGTGGATTGAGAGACAGGAAGTGTTTTGAAAATAAGTATGCTTATATGGGACTGTTATGTCAGACATGGTCTCTATTGTATGTTATGAAAGACTTCCAAACTTTTTCATCTATGATTAAAATAAAACAATAGATTTCTTCTAAGGAGAAATATGCAACCTGAGCATTATTAGAAACACTGTGACTGAGCAAAATACAGAGCAAACCAGGGAATTTTGCTACCATTCAAATATAACAGATGCCTGCTTGTTTGTTTTCAGTCTACATGTGAGCAAACATGCATTAGATTCTGTGCTTCCCTCTAAAGGAGCAGGGTGTGCTATTTTAATCACTTTTCAACTTGGTTGCATCCTGTTAGACCAGGATATAGTAGAACAGGTGTTGAGTCTTGGAAAACTCTATATGTTGTGGAAGTGAGCTGGAAGTGAGTAGCAAAACAGAGTGTGAGTTTCACTGATCCTACTGATTTTGGGGGCTTTGGAGAAATCTGATTCACAACAGCAGGCGAGGATATCTGCTGATCATCTGCAGTTTCTGGGGCCAAGTTGCATCTGTTCCACTGGGGATTTCGCTGCTGGTGTAGCATGTGTTAGTAGACCTCTTGCATTTGGTAAGAATGATGTAGGGTGATGCCTGCTTTTCAGGTGGAGCCAACTGCTTGGCAAGAAGAACAGAAATTATGTATTAAGTTAATACCAGAAGCAACTTAGTCCCAGAACATGTATGGGATTTACAAATGCTATAATGGATGTTCCCAGGATTCATTTCATCCCTGTTGTGATGTATTGCCATCTACTATTAGGAAGTCTTGGTGAGAAAAAAGCATTTAAAAGAAAAGTGTGTGTATGGGAGAAATGATTGATGGAGGCAGACAGGGAGCTTGGAAGGGGACTTCCAGCATCCAGTCTTTTCTGTTGTCTGATTTACTTGACTTCAGGACATCTCCTTTGTTTCTTTATGATAGTGATTCTGCATGACTCAGCATCTTGTGTAGTATGTAGGGTAACAGTCCTTTATTGCAGTCTGGGAAAAAGGGAATGTGTGTAATATTTTAAAGCGGCTCTTACTGGTTCCTGGTTGCAGGCTTTGTTGACCCAAGGCATCCCTTCATAACCACATTATTGACTACTGGAGACTTCTGCAGAACAGAAGGGAACAGTCAGGAAGCAAAGATGATCTCCTTCAAGCAACTGCCCATTGAAGCAAAGGCTGCAGTGGCTGCAGGAGTGGTTTTCTTCTCCATGATGCTGTCACGGAGTTACCTGGCAGAAAAACTCGATTTCAGGACGCGACGCTGGCTTCTAAGGCTGCAGATGGCACTATTTGCTAATACGCTCATGTTGATGGGGTCTCTTCATGTTTGGAGAAGCACAGTCACCACGTTCACCAGGTCTTCAGCTGCCAGCGCCTTCTGTTTCATGCTGTGGAAAATAGCTGTGTTCATGTTTCTAGTTTTGGCTCATTCAAGCTTCTTTACATTGCTATTTCTTGTTGCAGAAGAGCCCTATTTCTTTTCTTTAGCTGCCTACACTTGCTTGGGGGCCTATATTATTCTCATCTTTTTCCTCTTCACTCTAGGCTCTGTAGAGCAGGCTTACAAGTTCCTGGCTGGGAGAGGCACTAAGGCAGGCACAGGCAACAAGAACAGAACTGCACTGAAACCAGTTCTGTCAGTCTTACTTACTGTCGTGCTGACTGTTGTTGGGCTGTTAAATGCTTCCCAGCCTCCTACTGTGAATTCAGTGGAGATTCCAGTTCACAAGCTGCCCTCAACAATGAATAACCTGAAAGTGGTGTTGCTTTCAGATATCCATCTGGGGCCTACAGTTGGGAAGACCAAGCTTGCCATGATAGTGAGAATGGTTAAGGCTTTAAAACCAGATATCACCGTGATTGTTGGGGACCTATCTGATGCTGAAGCAAAGATCATACGACCTGCTGTTGAGCCTCTTGGAGAACTTGATTCCCCTTTGGGAACTTACTTTGTCACAGGAAACCATGAGTACTACACCTCAGATGTTAGCAACTGGTTCGAGCTGTTAAAATCATTTAACATTCAGCCGTTGCATAATGAGAATGTGAAGATTGTTTCACCAAAGAGCACTTCTGACTGGTTCTGCCTGGCTGGCGTGGATGACATTGAAGCAGATGTGTTGCGCTACTCGGGACATGGCATGGATTTGAAAAAAGCTCTCAGAGGTTGTAGCAGTGAGCATGCAATAGTGCTCTTAGCTCATCAGCCAATTGCTGCAAAGTGGGCCCTTCAGGAGAGACCAGACATAAATTTAATTCTCTCTGGCCATACTCACGGAGGGCAGATTTTCCCTCTAAATGCTGGAGCTTATCTTCTGAATCCATTCTTTGTTGGCTTGTACCAAGTTGGGCAGAATACCTTCGTCTACGTCAGCCCAGGGACGATGTACTATGGAATACCCATGCGGCTGGGCAGCAGAGCTGAAATAACAGAGATTATTCTACGTTCTCCTTGAGGAGTTTTCCATTTGACAGACTTCTAATTTTAATTTTTTTATTTTTTTTTGGCCAGTATATTGGCTCTCCTACTATAAAGCAAATTCTTTTTCAGGGAAGCCAGAGAAAATGTGTTGGGCTGAACTTCAGCAGGTTCTGTTAAGTTTGAGCAGAAAACACTAACTGTATCTTGGGCCTATGAAACAAATTTGGGACATATTAAATTACTGAAGAAATTAGGTCTTTGAGTTCATTATTGTTGAGGTTCTGCATTTAAAGATAACACTGATGTCATGGAGATAACGTGTGTCCTGTGCATGTTTAGTAGTACCTGTGTCCTGCAGCTGCTTCATGTTCCATTCTTTGGTATCCATCAGGCAGCTGCCTTATCAAATCTCGAGCAGGTGAAGTTCTGAGCATGTGCAGTGAAGTCACTTATGCATGTTTTGCAGAAAGGCCTGCAAGAATGGGCACTGAGTATGTAAACTCTAGGAGCCTTTTGCTAGAGTTGTTGTGGGAAGTGAATAATAGTTTAGGGTTTGGTTTTTTTTTTTTCATTGGGGCTGGATATCTTTATCCTGCTAGCTGTCTGCAGCATGCACCAGGGCTTCCAGTCTGTGCTTCTTATTAGTACTCTAAGTTTACAGGCATCAGTTCTAAAATTCAGCTTTGTCCAGTTAAAAGTTGGTGAGACTGACACCAGAAAGTAAAAGTAGCTGTCTTTCTCAGGCATTTTCCCCAGAATAGCTGGGCATCCAGTAATTGCTTACTGAAAATAGCTCTAATAAAAGCAAACGAGGAAAAATCCAAAATTAACTTCAGTTGCTATCTGAGCATACAGTACCTCCTTATATAAAGCACTAATTCCAAAGCTGAAATATTCAGTGTTGTTTGTCTTCATTCTGTATTTTTTTCTTTCTGCCTAATTTCTCCTCCATTATTTTTCTCTTGCAAGAGTAAATAGATGCTATTTACAAACAATGCAAATAAGTTAATGCTTGAAATTTGTTAAAGGCTTTAATATTTAAGTAAATTATGTCCTCTTTTAATCAGACTAAACTGCAGCAGGTGACTTTCCCATAGAACATTTCAGTGTCCTGGTTGTCTGACGGGCATATAGCAGAGTAACCGCTACAGGTTAATGAGGGATGGAGGATTCCTTCCCATCTTTCATAGAAGGGTTTATAATAAATTAACATAATTATGGGAATTTTGAGGTATTAGAGAATAATTGGTAAAAACATCCTTGTTTCTGTATCTTTGTGTTCACTTGAGAAAGCCAGGATGTAAAATAATGTGTGACTTTTGTCCAGGCTGATGAAACACTTTGCTTCTGTACATCTTCTCTCTCCTCCTCTCCCCCCTCATTGTTGCTGCATGAAATATCACAAACAATGGGAACCTGGAAATCTTGCCTCTGTAGTCTGCAGCTGTAGCTGCAGGGTTTCCCTTGCTCTGCCTTTCTGCCCACCACTGCCCTTGTTCCTCTCAGGCAGACCCACAGCATGGGGCAGAAGAGAGCAGTTCTTATCCAGGAGACTGAGGATGGAAGACCAGAGCTATGGTGTTCAGTCTTTTCCTGCCTTCCTATCTGATCATGAACCAGACAACCATAAACACTTGGTTTTGTTTTTCAGCTTATTTTCTCATATTAAAGGAGATAGATGGGGGCGCATTTGAAAAGTACCAAACTTTGTCAAGTTGAGGGTTTTTATAAATTAAATTTTGAGGTTTGACTTCATCCACTCTAGACATCTCCCAGGCAGAGTTTCTAATTCCTGTTCTGGTTTTGTATTTTGCTTCTCTGTACAAACATCTTAAATTTTTACTCAGGAATAATGAGAAATACTGTAAATGTGTCACAAAGGTTAGTGGAATTGTTAGAGAAGTCAATCCTCTTTCAGTCTGAAAACTGAATACCTTACCAGCCATGCTTTCTGCTTGCCAGATTAGATAATTTCTGTTTCCCATCACTTATAATTTTAGAAACTTTTTTTTTATGATTGTGTGATAATATTTGCTTAAGTATCCTAAAGTTTCCATGTGTATTCAATACTGCCTACTGTCCATGAGAGAGCCATCTGAGGCTTTTTGCAGCCGGTGACATGGTGTCAGATGGTCTTACGAGGAGGGAATTTTGATAGCCTGTAACCCTCTGGTTACTTATCAGCAGGCCTTAGTTAAGAGCTGTGTTCTGGGTTTAGTGGTGCAGAGTATTCTCAGCTGGCCAGTAGTCCAGGAGAATTTTTACACTTGTCGCACTGAATGTTTTTACCACATTAAGAAGGCTAATTGTTAAGCCAGTTTCCTCAACAGGAGGCATTTGTGGGACTGGTTTTAGATCGTGTCAGCTTCTCAGTGAGTTACTAGTATATTTAGGGGTTTTTTCCTGCCTTTTTTATTTCTCTCTTCATTCTGATTAAGTCGGTGCAAAAACGTAGCTGAAGGGATCCTTCCATCCCAGAATTTCTTCCTTACTTGGTATGTGCCTCTCTTGGAAAATAGTTACGTATCCTTTCAGAAGCAGATATGCATCCCTTTAGGAGTGGTCATGTTGTCATTTCATAAATCTATTCAGTTCTCCTGATGTAATTTAGTTCTTTCCCATTTTTATTTTTGTATCTCTCCCTCTGAAAGGTTGTTTTCTTGGTGATTACTTCTTACTTAAAATATTTTCTTTCTGTGCCAAAAGACTTGAAAACCTTTTCTTATTTTGTTTTTATGAATGGAAAGTATCCTAGATCAACTTTCTGTTTGATAAAAGGAATGAACCATTTCTATAATGTCTCTAATCAGCAATCTCTAACTGTCCTTCAAGGTTCTTTCTATACTTTTTCCAGTTTGATTTGAATGTGCACAATTCAGACCTGTGTTCAGTATTTCAGATGAAGAAAAATTGCTGTGCTGCTTATTTTGTAATTTTTAATTATTTTTTTTTTTTTGTAAATTTTACGTGTGTGTGTGTGTAATGTATTTAATCTGGAGAACTTAACTAAATGAATATATATTTCATTCTATAAAAGGCCAGTTCACTGGGGGCTGACGAGGAGTTAATTAATGTCAGAATTAATAGCTGAATATAATAGTATTGTCACTTTGTGAAAATTATATTTATTATATAATTACTATAGAATGGATTGGAAAATATGTAAATTGTGGTATAAGAAATGCTTTAAATGTTGGGATTTAATAAAACTTTATTCTTATAATCAAGCATGAGGCCTCTGATGACCTTTTATTTTATACCAGCATGCATTGCAGCAGTTTGTGCTGAATAGTTTTAACACACTCATTCCATTTACCAACAAAAAGCTACCAACAATAAACCTGACTAGTTTTAGAAACTCTTACACCCCCACTGCTAAATGAGGCGTGTTGGAAAGTGGGAAAGAAAAGGCCACTATTATATTTGCCTAAAACCTACTAGTGGAAGAAGGTGCAGACAGCTGGGATGAGGATGTGATGCAGAGAAAAGGAGAAGGCAGAGAAAAGGAGAAGGCAGAGAAAGGTTACTAAGACAATTTTTTGGAAGGAGCAGAAGAAAATGAGTGATTTGTGTTTCTCAGTTTTAATACTTAAGCTTTGAGGTAGAGAAAGAGGTGTTCTGTGAAGAGAGGCTAAAAATTTTCAGAGATGGAGGATTTATACCTGCATTTGTTTGCTTTCTAAATAAGAAAAAACAGTCCTGTTTTGTAAATTTGGACAGTGGGAGATTTTGCTACTGATAAACAGTTCTGTGTGTTGAAGATGGGAAAAAAATCTTATGTCGAGAGACATGTAACAGTATAGTTTTGATTAAATTAAATAATCTCAACTATTATAAAATGTTGAAATTGCATTAAGGTTGCAAAAATAAACTTTTACTTGATTTAAGCAAGGACAAATTCTTTAGTTCTTCTCTTTTCCATGTGAGTATGCTCACATGCAATATACCATTACAATGCAACATTATACCATTGCCTGTAAGGGTGTGAATTTTCAGCTGGGTGCTGATACGATTTTGTATGAAGGAACAGGCATCCCGAGCAGTGCTTGGTGTGTGTTGCTTACCAAATGAGCAGACCCACTGCCCCATCTTCTAGGGAGACAAAGTGGGAACACATTCCCTGCATATTCACAATGGTGAGTATACAGTGTTGGCAGAGCCAGCCGAATTCATGAGGACAGCTCTCCTGTTTCTGTTGCAAGCCCTGGATCATCCACTGACAATGAAGTAATGCTGAAGAATTGATCATGAAGCAAGTCTGTTTACAATGAATGATGAATGAGGTGAATTCAAGTATTCTGGTAGCTTCCTCCCTCTCCTCACCCATGTAATAACACTGTCAGGAAGTGTATGTGTTGGGAAGGTGATTTACAGCCATGGTCACAGCTTTAAAAACCTGACTTCTAAATGGTAACTGGTTCAATGATAACCACTTTAATAATTAATACCTCCTTTTAATTGTTTTAAGATAGCCATGGCTCTCTGCTAGAAGTGTCTGTCCCTGAGGGCATGTAACAGTTTTTTCAGCATTTATCATCTCAACAGTTCTCTGCCATGAATGGGACAAGTGTCTTTTCCATAGACCCCTTAATGTGGTTAGTCTGAATAAGGGGGCTAAAATCCTCTTACAGAGGGACGCCACAGCAATTTATTTTGCCTCTTCTTATTTCCAGGGATAATGGCTTTTTGATGTGTAAAGTGATTCTATCCATAGTGATGGGTTTTTTTGGTTTCTTTTCTGTGTTGTTGCGTTTGGTTTCTGAGTTCTACTTACTCATGATCATTTTGAAGCACTCAGCTCTGCATTAGTGCTGTTACTTGTCACACTGCCCTAGAGTCAAAACATTTGAAGAATGTGAAGCATCTGCTTGGTGTCTGTAAGGGTGAATAGTTTTCTTCATGGGTACACAGAGAACGATTCCATCCTAGTGCAGCATGCCCAGCCATCAAGATGCAGGTTATAAATGAAAGATCAGGAAAAAGTCACATATGTTTTAATTGAACAGGAAGTAAACAGCTGTACGTACCTGTGCATCCTCTGCAGCAATAGTTTACTTGAGGTCTAACAGCCTGGAGTTACTACAGCAGTTATTCCAAAGCAGTTGGTTTGTATTCCTGAATTCTGTGTGGTCCTGGTTTTGGAGAGGCCTGATATGCCCAAACCTTTGTTAAGTCAAGATCTATTTATCTTAATAAAGTTAAGTAATATTAAGAATGGGTCCATGTTTGTGGAAACAGAGCATAAAAAGCATCTGCTGTGCAGCACTTGGCAGCCCCTTGCTTTTCCTGTTTCCCTGCTGTATCCTCTCATATCTGTTATTACACGTCCAGCACACAATTTCACTTGTTCACTGTTGGCAGAATGCTTTGAATTGCTATGTGTATCTAGGGCATTTTCCACAATTTTTTTAGGTTTTCTGTAAAATAATGCCTTTGTTGCGGATGGAACATGCTGTTGTCTTCCTCCTTGGAATTTGTAGTCTTGAAATGTATTGTTAAACCTCAGTTGCTCTGTTTAATGACAGTCTAGGGATAGACAAATTGGCTTAGCAATTTCGTCCTCCATTTTTCAGGAGGGAGAGTGTTTTCTTTGAACTATATTTGCTAGTTTCCTTGTGGTTTTATCCTGTAACACATTGCACTGGCTGTCTTTTGCTGATTTGTTGTTCTGACTCAGGTGGGCTAGAGATAGCTGGAGGAAAGTCATTTACCATCTCTTATTTTAGGACCATTGTGTCTTCTATTGTAGACAACCCAGAGATGTTGTTTAGCCTGTTCTCTGTGTCTTTCAAGGCAGAAAAAATTTATGCTGTGTCTTTTTTTTTTTGTTACTGTGTACAGAATGTACCTGAGAGGAGTTTTGGGATTGATTATGATTCCAACTGCTTTGTCAAGGATGGGAAACCTTTCCGTTACATCTCCGGTAGCATTCACTACTCGCGAGTGCCCTTGTATTACTGGAAGGACCGCCTGTTGAAGATGAAGATGGCAGGGCTTGATGCCATTCAAACGTGAGTAGCTATTCATTTTCCAAGTGATTTGTGATCCTGGGAGCTGTATGAGAAGTCATTAGGAGGAATAATGCCATTGTTACTTGTTTATTATTTTTCCAGTAATAGAGGAAGGTGAGGAAGCTCTGGAGAAGTGAAGGGTGGTACAGGATGACCTTTAACCACATAAATGGGGGCAGCTGGGCAGGTTGTAACCAGCAGTTTGTTTTCCTGATGATAGTCAACACCTCTTGCTTCACAACCCGGGGTGCAAATGTGACCTGAAATAAATTGTTGGACTGTGAACTTTGGCAACTACAGAACAATTGTATGTGCTCTGCCTCTGCCAGGGATATTGTACTCCCTGGTCAAAAAGCAGACTAGGTGAGAGGAGACAATAACGTTAATACAGCTTGGGTTAGTGTCACCCAGAGGCCTTGAAAATGTTGGTGAAGATTGTAGTAACATTTAAAAACTATTTCAAGCTACTTCACCAGGAGCATTTAAATTTAGATAAATGGATGGGGAATTAGGTGTACTTTTTTTTAAAAAAAAAAAAAGTTTAAACAGCTTTCAGTTTTGTGTGTGTGTCCAAAACCCTTAGTCCATTTTTCTTGTCTTTTCTACCTGGTTGTGTACTTAATTCAACAGATGAGGCTCAGATTAAAAAAAAATTCAACTTGTTTTTATTTTTGCCATAGCTTCTTTAACAAGGGAAGTGGTGGAGATGTATAAGGCACAGTCTTTTCAGGCGATGGTTGTAATTCCCAAACAGGTTGGTTTTCTTTTCTTAAGTCATTGCAAGGCTTAGAGCTTCTCTTTGAAACCACCTGCTTTGTGCTATAAAGAGGGCATGTTCTGACAGTGCAGAGCCTGTAGGCTCAGTGACAGTTTTGTACCACCTCTCCTTTCTCACCCTTGAAATCTGTATTGTTTTTAGACCTCCAAGTTGCATGGTTGCTTTGTACACTTGGGGATGAGACTAGTCAGTTAGTATGTGAAGAACAGACAGTGGGGGAAGGGAAAAAGTTGAATTTTTCTAAATTTAGGGTTGTTTTTTTTTGCATATCTTAAGACTCTTCCCTATGTTAGGATGATGCAGTCACTCTCTGGTGAGTGTTTTTTGTGGTTGTTTTTGTTGTTTTCTATTAAAGAATCAAGTTCTGTCTTTGCTCACATTAATAAGAGCAATGGGATTAAGCAACACATTTGCTCAGGGCAGGGTTGCTGGATTTGCCCAGGTAATTACTTTTTGCTGAAATAAAAGTGGACCTGAAAATTACACCTTTTGGTGTCTGGCTTGAAGGTCAGCCTGAGTCCAGACAGTTGGCTCTGTGACTCCTGTGATCCAGTGTCTCATACTTCCCTTACATCTGATTAATTTTCTTCCTTCCTTCCATCACCCATGTGTTTTCAGTGCCCTTTGTTCATTTCCAGCTCTTTCCAACAGTTCCTTTTTTTTTCTTTTTCTTTTTTTTTCCTTTTTTATGTCTCTGCTGCATCACTGGCATTTTGAGATAGGAATATTTTTTTTCATTCCCCTTGTCACTGTTGTTCAATGGCAAAATTACACGGGGCCAGTTTGGGTTTCTCCTCATTGCTTTCACCTTCTTCATTTGTGATCTCCCACTAACATAATGGGTTTTTTCCTTCTTTCTTTTCCGCTTTTTTCCCTTGTTGAGATCCCTTACTCTGCTTTACTTTCTGCTGTGCAGGAAGAAGTGAAAATTTGTTCTTTTGCTTTTGACAGCTTATCTCTGTTGGCCTTGGGAGAGCTGAGCTGTGTCTGTTCTGGCACAAAAGGTGCTGTGATTATGGCACCTGTGGCTTTAGGTGTTGTTGCTGGATCACATCATAACAGCTTCATTAGTCTCCTTTTGTTTTTCTAAGATCAGACTGAGATTCTCTGAGTTTCTCTCATTATTGCTCACCTCTGGATTTTTATTACTATGGTGAAAGATAAATCTAAAACTGTGCTTTAGAACCAGGAAATGCTCCTGTGCCTTGCATTTTCTACAAGAACCCAGTGCATGTTTTTTTCCATTTGACACTAATCACTCTTTCTCTCGTGATACTAAAAAAGCACCTCACTGACCAAAAATTCCTTTTGTTTTCCTTTGAAGTTTGCCAGTAATCAAGTCTTACTGGTCTGGATTATTTGAGATAAAGCTATAAATATTCATATTACTCTGAAGAAATCGTCTCTGATTTTGTGTGATTTTTGTAAAGAAATGGAAATTGTTCTGTGTGTTTGTGTTTTTGTTTTCTCTTCTTCTGCATACTCTTTCCTGGATCAGTAATACTGCTAGCAAAGGACAGAGATAGAAATAGTGTGAAGTCATTCTGGAATGAATGGGCAGCAGCACTGCCAGACTTTCTGGCAGAATGTGGTAGCTGGACTTGAAATCTTGAGGCCGCATCTGAAGGCTGTGATTTTGCTGCTTGGGATTTTTTTCCATAAGACAGGAACGGTCCTGCTATAATTTAAAATATGAGAGTCTTCCTTGTTCTTATCAAGGCATTCCCTGTGAGGTTTACCACTTCAAGGGAAACAGGATCCTTATATTGTAGGATTGTGCTTGTAAATACTTTGTGGACAAAGCCAACCAGACGTGTTCTCCTTCCTGTTCTCTGCAGCCTTTTTTCCAAAAGGCTCTCTATGCCTTGATGCATCATTCAGCTCATGACTGAGGCAGCAGCTCCTCCTGGACTCTGGAACAGGTGAAGTCAGTACATGGGTATAACTGTCCGCACCTGGTAGCACCTTAAGCAATAGCAGAACATAAGAAAACAGATGACAGTAAGCTTGATCTTATATTAAAACCTAAGAGATCAAGGCCTACCCTTCTAAAGAGCATGTTGAAATTTAATGTTGTGGTTGGTGTGCCATCCCAGAAGGTGGTGGAGGAGGATGCTGAGGAGCTCACTTCCCACCTCAGCAGATGTGTCTGGGTCACACAGGTAACTGTCCTTGTTTTCAGTTTCTGAACTGTGTCTGCCAACTGGAAATGGGTGCTGGCTGACAAAGGCGTCTGGAAAGCACAGAAAGTTTGGGGTTTGTCTTGCACGGAGCAGATAAAGAATTAGGCACTAGATGGGGCTGAAGATATATATATACAGGATTTGCTGATCAGTGGAGACACTTCTTGGAAGAATCTGCAGTTACCTTTACAGGATCATAGAAAGTTTAAAAAATATCGAGCATTTTATTTGTTTTACTTTATTTGTTGACTAACGAGCAGAAAGATGTAAACCTGTATAGAGTCCTTGTATGAAGGAGCTGCTGTTTAGAATATGGAATATTTAAAGTTTAAACACAAATTACTGTTCCTAAAGACTCATATGTGAGTAATTTAACTAGCATGCTGATTTATGAAAGTAGTACAATTTATTTGATTTTACACTACTTAAAAAATCCCTTCCTGGTATTACAGAAAGAATTACCTTGTACATTAAGGAAGCTGAAGAGTGATTTTTTTTGCCTGTTGATAATCTCTGAAATGGGAGAAGAAATCTGTGACTTCTAAAGAAAGGAAGGTTATAGCATGAAACTTAGAAATATCGTGTGCATAAAAAACTCAAATACAGATGAAATACCATAATTCAAGTTTGAAAAATGAGTTTCCTTTATAAATTCCTTATTCTGTAGCTAAAGCACTGCAGGATTAACAACTAACTAAATTTTGACAATGGTATACAACTAACAATTGTACAATTGTAACAATTATACTCATTAAAGAATACAATTTCAAAGTAACATAATTTCATTTGAGACCATCACTAGCTGTAGAAAATACATTGAGGGATTAAAGTGTCTTAGTAACAATTTTTAGACCAGTGTTTAAAATAAATTTTTATCATGATTCATTATATAAAAAAAACGGTTTCATGTAAGTTTTTTTCTTCTTCTTCCCTTTTTCTCTGCTAGAATCTGCTTTTTTTTTTTCCAGTGTTGTGGTCAAGCATGTGACATAAATGAAAGCTGTTTCTGGAAGAATTTTTCTATCTTCTTTCATCTTGAGCTTAAGGGAGCTGGAGAAACCCTTTCATCCTCACCTCAGACAGTATGAAATTTATTTAAACCTTAAGACTTGTTTCTGAACAAGTTCATAAAACTCTTCAATGAGTAGATTTTCACATGGTTCATAAATTCATTAAATGCACATGTAGTTTGTTTTACAAGTGAAGTAATTGTGCTTCAAAAACAATTAGAGCAGCTTGACACAGAAATAAAACATACCACATAGAGGGGAATATCTGCATTTTGATGCTTGAGGGCATTGCTTTGACTCCATCCTGGCACAAAAATTTGAAGCTTTATCTTTTCAAACAGTGGCTTAAAATTTTGTTATTTGAGATGCTATGATATTCACCAAGGCTGAAAGATTATATTTGTGTTTGATGTTCATGTGCGTGTCTGTCTGTGTATGGCCGTTTTAGTAGTGTAGTCCTAAGAGGGTTCCTGGTTCTCTTCCTTATTGAAAGCATTGTTCTGGGGACTTTCTTTCTCTCTTTGGTAGTTTTTACAAAATTAAATGTGGAACAACATACTAACAAACCCAGGCAGTAAGAAAAATGTTGCTTGAGAGGATCTTTGCTTGACTAGACAGAGTTTTGTGAATTTTAGAAATTTTAGAAGAATGAGTTTTTGCATTCCCTTGAATCCTTGCTCAGGGTGTACTCATCCCTAATTTTAGTCTGTCTGTGCTGTACTGCCACTTAGTACCATGGCAAACAAAACACAGTTGTCAAGCAGGGATCATCACCTACAACACTACTCATGGTATTTGGTAGATTACTGTTTCTTTGTTGTCTTGGAACCAAATGTAATTTTTTTTATTTCTGTGAGATGTTCTGTGCTGAGGTTGTGGTCTCCTAAGCCTGGAGGTACGAGGAAGGTGTTTGTTCAAATGGTGATCTGCTTGTTTGGCACCTTTATTACTTAGTTGAAATTAAGCTTTGCTTTGTATAAATTCTTGGGCACCTTAACAGCTCACAACTTAATTGTTCTTTCAATGGTGGTTTTCCAGAATTTGCATTGTTCCTTCTCAAAGGAAATTTTCAGGACCTAGATGTAATATCATTTGAGGCTTAGGTATTTTTCAGGTTCTTTGCAGTGGCAGCAGCATAGACTTGTCAGCCTGGTTGGTGTTCCCTGTGCAAGCTGGGTGTTCCATTTGTGAAGGGTCATGTGCTGTTTTGGGCAAGCTCGTTCTTGGCCTCTTCCTTCATGAGTGGTTTACCACATTCATCTCATCAGCCTTCCACCACTATGCAGCTGCCAGATGCACTGCCAGCTTCAAAACTGTTTATTTAATTTTGGAACAGACATCATGATTTCAAAATGGCACTACCAGAACCTGTTCTTGCTCTGATAGGGACTCCTGTAGACATAACCCGAATTTCAGTATTAATTTTAATGCCTTCTGCCATCTGAAATACTTGACAGAAGAAAGGCCATAGAGTTACTCGTTTCTTTTACTGATCCAAAGGATCAGCAGCATTACTGATCTTGGGGACATGTAGTGCAAATAGTTGTTTTTCAGAATTCTGATTTAGTCTCAGTTTCCTAATGGAAGTGATTTTCTCTCTTAATAGGTATGTCCCATGGAACTACCACGAACCCCAGATGGGCACGTATGACTTTTTTGGTGGCAAAGATCTAGAGTATTTCCTGCAGCTTGCCAATGATACTGGATTGCTTGTTATCCTGCGAGCTGGACCTTACATCTGTGCAGAATGGGACATGGTATACAACCTTTTGTAACAGCTCACTTCTAGGGTAAATCTAGTGCAAGTATTTCTTAAAGTAGACAAACTTGGTGTATCCTTAGACAAGAGTTTTGGTTTAGTGTGTTAAATAAAATCCATGCATCCTAAGTGACTTCTTACAATTCAAACATATTCTGTATTTGTTTTTTACATTAGGAATTACTACTTTCTTGTAGAAAAACAGTTTTCAGTGTATGTCTTTCAGTATATGTCTTGATAAAAGGCTAAATTCTTCTTAGGTTTCCTAAAAATGTCACTGAAGTGTTTCCCTTTCTTTTCCCAGGGAGGTCTTCCTGCATGGCTGTTGGAAAAGAAATCTATTGTTCTCAGGTCTTCTGATTCAGGTAGAGGCATCAAAAAAGACGATCAAAAATCCACTGTAGCAGCAAGGCAACTTGCTGTTTGAGGCCATTACTAGATAATTCATATTTCAGCTCAAGTTTTCTTATGAGTAAAATCTTCAGTACTTTTAGTTAGAAGTGTGTTTTCAAAAAGTGTGTAGAACAAGCAAAGCAGAGGACAAAGTTTCCAAGGTATTGTCAAGTTGGTGCCAAGAAACGAATCATTGTGACCATTGAGAAAAAGACAGGTAGCTTCAGCTTTGAGGGTTTTGGATTTGCCATAGCCACTCATAATGGGTATCCTTCCTGACTGGTCAGTGTACAATCCAGGACGATTTACAGCATTCTTATGAGCTCCTGTTATTGGACCAGACATGGAAGAATGAGACAGGAGATTAATGTGTTTATTGGAATGCATGTAGAGGATGAATATATAGATATCATATCCAACTTCAGTTCTGCTAATTGTGGGTTAAATTGTGTATTTTAAAAAATAGCACATAGATCAGCAGTTGAAGTTTTCTTCCTATTGATATGTATTAGGACAACCTGTGAGGCATAATGAAGTCCCTTTGATAATTTTCCACGTTGATCAGTATTAAAGTATTTTATTTTTTAGCAAACTGCACTGGAAGAATTTATAAACAAGCTTAAGTGCATATTTGTTCAAGTACTAGAGCAATCTGTTCATTAAATGCTGTTCATAATTTACATAATTAGAACACTATATAAAGATGACCCATATGTAATTTAAAACAAAAGTAGAAAAAAGCAGAAGAGTTGTGAAACATTTATACTTTGTGTATCAGATTACCTGGAAGCGGTAGAGAGATGGATGGGTGTCCTTTTGCCAAAGATGAGACCTTATCTCTATCAAAATGGAGGTCCAATCATCATGGTGCAGGTAATTTTCTGAAAATCAGATGAACCCAAGCAGCATGAATGCTTATACAGCTCTTTCAGACACCCTGTGGGTCTTGGGTGGTGGTGTGACAGGTATTTCTTAAGTTTCAGATAGCTGCAAGATTCTGATGCAATACCTTATCCTAAAGAACTGAATCCACTGTTTCTAGAACTCAGAGAGCACTCATCTGCTCTGTCAAAGTTGTTTCCCACAGCCAAATAAAGCAATAGAGGGAACTTGTGTAGCTTTTTAGATCTGAGGTTCATGGCAATTCTCACATAAAGCCAAAATGCATTACAGTTGCCTGAAACAATCTGACAAGGGAAAAGGGAATAAGAATACCTTTAGATAGAAGCAAAAGCAGTATGGAGTAAGCCTAATTTAGCACCTAACTTAAGTTGTAAATGTTTCAGGATGCAATTTTGTGTGTTCATGGTGGGTAGCTTCTGTCTGAAACTCCTTCTTGATGTGTGGGAGTGATTGTACTATTTGTAGTATTTGATCAAAAAAAAGCTTTATTTGAGTTTCTTTAAACTCCCCAACTGGCACAGGATAGGATAAGGGACCCTTCTTGTGATATGCACAAGATAATTTTGTTGAACAGTGTGTTTTGTCTATTGAGCAGAAGCACTGGGAAAAATTATTCTTTGGCAGAAATAAGATGCTTGTAACAGGATTTTCAGAAATGACCTTCAGGATTGGAATCTGTTGAATCTGGAGCTGAAAAGTTCCTCTCTTTGGAAAAGGGGCAAGATGTGTACCTCTCAGTATTAGAAGAGTAGTTCTCCCTTAAGTCCTTTTGAGTCCATTGCAGGGCTCGTGGCTCATGAGAGCCCTTTGTAGATGTCTCTGTTCTGAATGTTCAGTTTTGTTGCAGTTTTGATCATTTCACTGTCTGTTCTGTGGTTTTATTGGTCTGCTCAGGAGGTGTGTTGCAGATCTCAACTTGTAATAGAGACTGTATTATGATCACTGTAGCTAAGTAGGTACTTTGGGGGGTGTGGAATTTCGAAGGAAAATGGCTTAGCTATGCACAGTGATGGCTCCACTTTAAAATCCAGGTGAGAGGAATGAGTCTTGTGTTCTCCTGCTCCTCAGATCTGGAGTTAAAATGAGATTTTCGATATTGCTATCAAAGGAAGAAGAGGGTTGGACTTATGCTTTGTTCTGCTATCAGATGCAGACTGAATTGGCTATGGCTTTACTGATTTGCTTTTACTCTACAGGTAGAGAACGAGTATGGGAGCTACTTCGCTTGCGACTACAACTACCTGCGTTTCCTTCTGAAGCTCTTTCGCCAGCATCTTGGGGATGAGGTGGTGCTCTTCACAACTGATGGTGCAAGCCAGTTTCACTTGAAATGTGGGGCTCTCCAGGGTCTTTATGCAACAGTGGACTTTGCTCCAGGTTGGAGACTGCTACTTGTTTCCAAATATTCTGAGTATTTGTGGCAGGACAAACTGATTGGACTGTTGTCAAACCTGACAGCCTTGCTTAAATGGGGTAACAGGCATTTATGTGTATTTTATGTACTCTTAAACATACAAGAATCCCCTGTGAGCACCCATTTAGAAAGTCATAATCACTTCCTTGCGTCTTGAAATCATGAATAACCAATTTACGCTGCTCATAGCTCGTATCTCCTAAAAATTAACAGTAATAGTTGGCATTGATTCCTTGTATTTTTTTAATGTTCTTTTTTAATGTTGGGTTTTTTTTGAATGCTTTCTGTCTGTCCTGGAATCCAGCCAGCCAAATACATTTCTTTTTAAGCCAGAGGTTATTGGAAAAACAACAGTACTTTAGAAATGTGCACACTGCTACAATTTGCTGTGATATAAGCCTGAGGAATGGCTAAGCATTTAGCCATTCAGTAGTGTGATCAGACAGTACCCTTCTGATAGGAGAGTTAAAGATTTAAATGTTAGTATACTGCATGGACTTGGCAAAATAGGCTTAAGGCACAAGAAACAAACTCCAAGACACATATTTTCATTTTTTTTATTGTACATTATTCTCTCTACAGCCAAACACATTTGTTTAGCAGGGATGTGTTTTCTTGCAAGTTGAATGAAATTGTGAATGTTTTCATTTTTATCCTTTATGTAATGGTGAGCCACTCACCACAGTGGTTATTTCCAGCTACTGTGGCTTGAGCCACTAGGAGCGATCAAAAGTGAAACACCTCTTTAGAAATTGCCTGGTTTCTGTTCTTCCCCGTAGCCTTGGTAACGTAACCCCAGATTTAGATTTTCCAATGATCAATAACAATTCTGACACATCTCAGACTTCTTTGTGCCAGGATGTCATTTCTGAGAAAAGCTGGGTTTTCAAAAGAGGTATCTTAAAAGCAAAGGCATGTACACAAGCATGCATATGTTCATGCATATATTTAAAATAACTTTTGTAAGTTAAACATCAGAATCAAAAGTATTGATTCCTATGTTTGCTGGAGTACCTTTCTTGTCATGACTTTTGCTAGAGTGGAGGGAGATAAGATACCAGTTTCAGTAAATTGATGGATCCAGAAAGTCATGGATATAGCAACTCTATTTCTTTCTGTTTACAGGTGGCAATGTTACAGCAGCATTCTTAGCTCAAAGGAGCAGTGAACCGAAGGGCCCTTTGGTATGTGTTTTCACTTAAACTTTTTGTATCATTTCTAATCTTGAAGTTGTTAATCAGAGAAGGGTTGACAGCAGTGCATTGAACAATTTTAGGGACCTGTTGATGAGGGCATAATTTCCAAGTCAGAAAAAGTGAATCGAAGAGCTTCTCTGTGTGTTTGTCAAATCCACATTAACCGCTGCTCTACAAATGCTATTTTAGTCTCAAAAAGTATTGATTTGTTTCAGTAGTTTTCCTTGCTAAGATAAATGTTTACAAAGCAGCGGAAACGCTAGGGATGGTTAGATGAGTTAGTGAGATATGTGTGTAGGTGGAAGTTAAAAGCAAAATTAAAAGGGCAGATTAGAAGTTGCTTCCTGTTTTCAGCTACCCTAGAGGTTTCAGACAAGCTAAAGTGGGATCTGAGCACACTGGAAGCCATTTTGACAAAGGGAGAAGGCCCATTGAGGGTATAAGATTATCTCTGTGCTAAGGAGTTGTTTAGAAAGCAATTTGAAATATTTTTCATTACATCCAGTTTGTGTGTGCTATTCTGCAGAGAATATGTTGGTTCCATCATTTATTTGAATGCCAAGAATCTGAAACACATCCTTGTTGACAGGTTCCCAGGAAATCCGTACTCTTTGATGCTTAAGCAATTATTTTCAAAGTGTCCCTATAAAATTATTGAAACAATCCTTTAGTTCCTTTGTCCTGTAGTCTGCTGAAAAGGACTGATTTAGTATGTACTTTGCTGTATTTATAGTAGTTTAAAAATGGCTCAAATTAGTCAAGGTGCTTTTTTTTCCTTCCCTCTTACAGTTAGGAGCCTTAATTCACAATGCATTCTGTTCTTGTTCCCTCTTCATGTTTTCCCTTCCTCTTTTGCCCTTCCTCCTTTCAGGTTAATTCTGAGTTTTATACTGGATGGTTGGATCACTGGGGGCACCGTCATTCTGTTGTGCCCGCAGAAACTATAGCTAAAACACTTAATGAAATCCTGGCACGTGGTGCTAACGTTAACCTGTAAGTGTGTGTTCAGTAGAGCTTAATTTTGGGGGGATTTCTTTACCCAGTTCAGCAAAACCTGATTTTTTTTCTTTTTAGGTACATGTTTATAGGTGGAACTAACTTTGCCTATTGGAATGGTAAGAAATTATTTAAATTTTACTAGTGGTGGAGGGGAGCTGTTTATGAATTAGGTAGTAATGTATTTTGTGAAAGAATAAGTTGTGCCTACTTGCATATGGCAAAAGACATGACTGCACTGCACTAGCTGTTCTTTGTTTTTTTCCAACATGTTTTGCTAAACCCACATGCTATTTGTCTTTGCCAAGGCTACTTCTGCTTCACTCAGTGCTGTGAAACAGTTGAAACACAGATAAATGTGTTTATTTTTAGATTATTTCACAGAGTGGTGTAAGCTCACAAAGACAACGTCCTCCATCATCAAATCTGACTGATTTATGCCAAATCCCAGACATTAAGGCCTACACTGAATCTAAAAATGTAGCAGAGTCTGGCAGTAATTGGAAAGAATTCTGAAAGTTGATACCTTTGGAAAAAAAGCATATCTTCCACTGGTTGTATTGAACCATGTATTTTTCTTTTTTCCTCCTCCCTTAGGTGCTAATATGCCTTATATGCCTCAGCCCACTAGTTATGACTATGATGCTCCCCTGAGCGAGGCGGGAGATCTGACAGAAAAGTATTTTGCCTTGAGAAAAGTCATTGGTATGGTGAGTGTCCCCAGGACATTTTTAGAATGGTTGTTTGAAACATCCATACCCGGTGCACTCTTGTTCTTGTGTTGGTGTAAATTACTTCTCAATTTACTATTTTCTGCAGTTGGGGGAAGTGAAATGGAACAAGACAATTAGGCCAACCTAGCTGCTACTTCTTATTACAAAAAGCAAAAGATCTTGCACCTCTCTAGCTGTTCTTTCTGACCCAATGGCTTCCTCCCTTATAGAGGAGAGGATACTGGTGTAGGTCTGATGCTGACATGGTTCAGCTCTCCTTTTTTTTGCTGTTTTTTTTTTCTTTCAAGGTCAGTAAGGTGAATCAGCTCATTCAGTCAGATGAGCGCCAGTGCTGCCACAAGGGGAGCAGAGGGAGGTGGGAAGGGTTTATCTGGGAGTAGAGGTGGAGGAGGAGTGTACAGAGCCTTTACCTTGCAGCATCAGACAGCCATTCACTCAGCTTAGACTCATGACCTGATATCAGCCCGATGTGTGCTGCAGTTTGGTGCTTTAGTTGTCTGTCCCAAACTTCACTTTGAGGTTTTGGGCCTCTGTGAGAAAGACCAGGCTTACTCAAAAGAACACATCTTGGTTTTGTGTTTTCACAAACTGCAGCTAGTGGGTGGGACCAGCTTTGCCTTGCTGTAAAAATGCACAGTGTCTCCACAAACTGGAGATTGAAGTAAAACATGGAACCTGTGTCTGGGTTTAAATAGCCTTGTATTGGAGGCTGTTCAGATGAGGCTTAAAAGCAGGTTCCATGTGAATCCAAAGGCTCAGCTTGTAGTCACTATCCTGTTGCATACTAGCAACATTTTTATTCACTAGAAGATATTTTTATTCTGAGAGCAGATCTCTCTAAAGTGTACTACACTTTCTCTAGCATTGAGAATGCCTTTATCTCTGTTACTGTGGAAGGCTTGCTGTGTTGTGTTTTTTTCTTCAATTTTGCCATTATCCCTAAGCCTGATGGGATAAATTGATGGGATAGTTTTGATGGCCTTTCCAAGGGGAGTTTCCTGTCTTGATACAGCTTTTCTCACCAGAGAAATCCACAGTTGTTGTTTTCTTCAAGGTGCAAGACCCCTCTCTGAGATGTAAGTAGTATTCTAGTGCAGTGAGAGAGCCTTGATAAGATGTAAAATGTTCACTATAACCTCAGATGTATTGGGTCATCTTTTGGTGTGGTTGGTTTGTTTCTTACTTTGCATGTCCATAGATGTTCAGTGAAGCTTTCTTATCACTGCTGTGGATTCTAAACCTGTAACAAGTGATCTACTCAGCTGCAGTTTGAGGTGAAGCTGATGAAAGAAAATAAAGTTGCCTGTAACAAATGACTGTGTTCAACATGTTAGCTGTGCTACAAGGATAACATTAAAGTCCTCCTTTACAGTTTCCATTAGTTAAAAAATGTAATGAAAAATTTCAGTCTACAGTTTCTTTCAGTTGCTGAGACCATTCTCTTAATTTTTACTATTTGAGCTGAAATTTCCTGCTTTTGACTTCTCTTCTTGAGTGTATGTGACTTTTGTTTTCTTTAAATCTGAGTATCTTGATTGTTTTCCAATACGAAGGAGAAGAAATTCACTTCTTACTAGAAATGTAAATCAGGCTTTCATCCATCCATAACTGACAATTCACAGGATAGCATTGGGAATCATACTGGTGTGGTCTGTTGAAAACAAAACACAAACCCCCAACTAAACCAAAAACCCTTTCAACCTCTAATGAAATTTATTAAAAAAAACCAAACCTGACAAGGTAAGCACTCCAAAGTCACCAGATTTGCAGATGGAGACACTTCACAAGGGTGGTCTTTTGTGCATGTTTATTAAAATGTAGGCTTGGATTGCTTGTTCACATATGTGTCTCATCTGCAGAAGTTTTTTCTCTAATATGCAGACAGGCCATGTCTAGTTAATGAAGAAACAGGGGGGAAGAGTGGCTATTAAGCAGTGGCAGGAGCAGGAGAAGGGGATGAAGCAAGGAGAAAAGAAGGCTGTAGGTGCAGAAAGGAGAAGGCCAAACTGCTGGGCAGAAAGCCACTGTCTTGTCTGCAACACCTCAAAGGTGTCCAGGAAAGTAGTGAGTGGAGGCCCTTCATCCCTTCTCTCTTCTGATTTCAGGTGATCTTCTTAAAAGTATAGGACAAGAAGAAACCAGAAGTAGATGGGTGGTCAGAGCATTTCTTTGTTATGACTGATTGAACAGTTGTCTAGAGCAGGAACAGAGGGAAGCTGAAGATGTGACCTCAGGGGTTCGTGGAGCTGTGGTCTCCAGGTTTGTTTCTCAAAGACCCCAGCCCAGGCAGTAATGGAGTAGCAGGTGGTAGTGGTGGAATATAGTAACACTGAAAGGAAAGGCACAAGAGGCTAATAATTCCTGTAAGGAAGTTTTGCTGATGAAGGATCACGTGGAAATACTGTCCTACAGATTTGGAAAGGTTGACTCAAGCTCACATGAACTGGGGAGAGGACTGCAGAAAAGCTGTGGAGTAGGAGTAACTCAGGCCGTAGCCACAGGAGGGCTCCAAGGGTACTGGGAATTTTGATCGTTCACTTTGTTCATTATGCTTTTTACCTAGTATTGAATAGTTCTTAAAAATTGTTCACCATACATGATCAAGTCAGATTTTTTCCTTTAAAAAAAAAGATCTCCATCTTAAGACTAGATGTGGTGGTAACCTTTAGGGAGGTTATTTACTTTAAGCCAAAGTTATAATTTTCTAAGTTGTAAAGTGTAAAGCAAGAATTCAGTTAAAGTGTGTTTGTATTTAACTTGTGTGTGTGTGGTTTTTTTCTCCTCTTTCTAGTATAAGCAGTTACCAGAAGGTCTTATCCCTCCAACAACACCTAAATTTGCATACGGGAAGATACGCTTGCAGAAGGTAAATTAACATCTGTAATACACTGTGTGTCTTTTCATAATGCTGTATGTTTGCTTTTAATGAAAAAACGTTCATGAAGGTGTCACAAGAGGCTCTAGATATCCTACAAAATAAAGAGGAAAACCTTGAAAGCAAACTTAGAGGAAGGAGGGTGCAGAGCTTGGGAGCTAGGAATCATGCCCATGTTAGAAAATGATCAAATGCATCTTGCCTGGCTGTAAAAAGATAGTGTTTATAAAATGCAGTATGTGCCTGAAGCTTTTCTGAACTGAAATTAATATATTATTAACACAACAGATTCATAGTTGTTAAAGATAACTCATGTATCAGTAATGTAGCTGGGGGAATGTTACTGTGAGACTTACAACAAAGAGTGTTTTTGTAGCTGGTAATGCCTCCGAAGTGGAAGGAAAAGTAGGATATACATATTTTAAATACTTCTAGGCATATACATTTTGAAAGTGGAACATTTTTGATAAATTTGAAAGTCTTATTGATAAAGTTTCTGACAAGATCTGTAGCTGATGAGAGGAATTAAATCAGTTTCCTGCTGAGGGAAAAGCAGCCAGAACTAAGCACTCAGAACCCAGCCTTGCTATATCCTGTCTGACAATAGGTCATATAGCTGGTCAGCTCACAAGTATCTGGGGCTTGACCACAGCACCATCATTTTAGGACCAAGCACTTTTTTTTGAACAATTTTTTGTGAGTTACATTTGAGACCTAGGTTTCTGCAGTGAGTGAAGTGGATGGTTTAATGGGCAGTAGAAGAGACAGCAGGTACGAACTTGGCTATATTCTCTCTGCTGAGCACGGACAAGTTTTGAGATGGAGGATTACTGCAGTTGATGTGCTGGATACTGTAACTCCTAATGCTTTGATTTTATACTTTGTAATTTCAATTTGGCAGTTGTTTTTCCAGTTAGTGATGTATCTCATCTCTGCAGCTGAAACATTGCAAAATTTAGTAGTGATAAGGCTTTGCAGGCATTTTCAAGTCATTCCACTCAAGTGGTGGGCAGAAGTATTTTTTACATAAAAGCGCTTCACCTGTGAAGCTGAAAGAGATCTGTATCACTTTCAACAACCTTTGAGTGTCTTCTTGCCATATGAGGTTTCACTGAACTGGCAGTAGTGACTAATTATAGGCTCTCATCGCTACGCCCACCACCGTGGCTGCTGTCTTTGGTTGCAAGGACTTGGCAGCCCAGTTATCAGATTTTGACTCTCCCATCTTGTCATGGATCATGGCTCTCAGATAAGGCTGTCCAGTTTCACTAGAATGAAGAACTTTCATGCCTTCAAGAAATGAATGCTGCTGGACTCTCACAAAAGAGTCAGATGACTAAACTTGCTCAGATATTGCATCCTTGACCTGATCTGCACCTTCTACATGTTCTGATTTTTTGAGAGGAAGTGTTACACTCTCCAGGCATCAGTTTTAGAAATGCAGATGGCATGTCTAAACCACCAGATGTAAGGTTCCTGTCATGCCTGTACATACACTGCCCTCTGCACTGAGAGCCTCTGGAACTGTTTTCTGTGAAGGAGGCAGCCTTTTGCTCTATGACCTGCGGCTTAACTTCAGCAGTAGTTTGCTCTGCTGGGTTACCTTGCAACACAAGATGAGTCTCCAATCACAGAGGGTTTGTACTGTGCCAGCCTAAAGCCACCTTCCCAACTCCATTCTAGCCCCAGCTGGAACCAGCTCCAATGCACCTGGTTGTGTGGAGAAGCCTTAATGTATTGTGAATATCAGAGAGGGAATATTCTAAATAATATCACTTAGCTTTGGTAACAGTAAACTTCCTAGCTATGTCATTTGCAGTGACAATCAGTGCTAACACAGGTACTGTGTGGATCTTTACTCTGCAGCTCAGGTCCAGCAGGCAATCTGCCATGGAGAGCATTGAATCTGCTCCAGTGAACCAGCTCACTTGACACTTTTGCAGAAATGATGAGAGAAAGGAGACTCTCGAGTATTTTCAGGGGTCATATGATGTACTTTATGGAGGTACATGTAACCAGAGCAGGCTGCTCTCTATCTTTTTTTACTCAAGATATTCTGTCACAGTTCAGTCCTTAAGTACCAACTCCCCTGATGAGGCAATTCTGAGCTCATTCTGAGCTATTGATTTATTTAAAAAATCCTCCTGGGTGGGAAAAATACAATTTGTTAAAGATGTTGGAAACACTGACATTGCTACGTAAGAGCAAAGGCAGGAAAGCAGGCGATAAGGAAAAAATGTTGTTGCACAGATGTAAAAGAGAAGTGTTGAAGGTGAGGAATGAGGTCAGGCAAAGGCAGAACTGCAATAGATGCGCTCCAGAAGTGTGAACAAGATGATAGGTTTTAAGGATTTAAGCCCCAGAACTTGTGAAGTATTCTTTCCAGAAGGATATAAATGCATCTTAGTTCCTGTGATGTGTCCATGTGGCTGTGCAGGCTTTGTGAGCATGTGGTAGTTTCTGGTCACCACCTGGGGGGGCCCTGAGGAGTGCTTGGTCACAAGGAAGTGCTTTCCCTAGCACAGCTGCCTGCAGACTTGTAAGTTCTGGAGAAGTACTCAAGTCTTAGGATATGTGGAGAGCTCAAGCAATAGCAAGTAGCAGGCAGTGCTGGTGTGTGTTGGGGCTAGAAGGAGGTTAAGCAAACAGGATATTCCTGTTGGAGCTGTTTAGTTTCTTTTTTTCTTTCATGCTTGACCTTACACTTGGGTTTTGAAGACTTCGCTTTGGAGAATTAAAAAAGTATTGGGTTGTTGGGGGTTTTTTTTAGCAGTTTACAGGTTGTTTTTTAAAATTTCTGACAATATTTGTAAGTTTTAAGTTTACTGTTAAATTTCTCTTGTGGTACTGATTGTCCATGAAGTAGCAGTCAACAGGAATTTGCAGCAAGACTAGATTTTGTCTTGAAGGTTTTTTTATATGTACCGCTGAAGACTGAAAAGCTGAACAAAATAAAACTACTGAAGTTTCAAAGAAACAAGCTTCTACCAATCCCTAAGTGAATCATACATGGTTTACCAGTATTCAGAACAGAAGCCCCTTTGGTAGCAGGAACTTAAAAAAAAAGTCAAAGAAGCACATGTACAAGCTGCTAATACTCAGGTCAGCAAGGCACAAAGCAGCATTCATTGCTGCTAAGTAACTCATTCAAGTGCCGACCATGTCCTAATGCTGCTTGTATTCATTTCTGGTTTTGCTATCCACCTAGGGCTTGGACTGTTAATGCCCATAGGACTGTAAAATTCTATAATTACCTTTTTCAGTGTTTGTGCATCTCTTGCTTCACAGTTCCTGTTGAAGACCTGGTAGCTTAATCTCTCTTGTGGTGTGGCAAATTCTGGATATTGCTGTAGCATTACTGGCTCCTTTGGAGGAGCACAAAATAAGGAGTGGACTATGTATGCAGTCTAGAATGTTTGGGAAATTTTACTGTAAGAAAGACGATTGCTATTTTAGGTACAACTTTTAAACTGAAAACATAAGAGCATACTTTCATCAAAATGTTGCAAGCCATGTTTCACCGGCAGTCTTCTTGCCCAAGTGAACATGCTTAGCTAGTTCACGCTAGTGAGCGTGTCCCAACCTCCAGGTAGTGTTGGTTTTACCTTTTATATACTTATGGCATACTTTTACTTGCTTGTTCCTAGCTAGAGTTAAGACAAGCTCATTTCAGAAGTCTGTTTAGATCTGTGTCTACATGGTTGTTGTGGTTTAATCCTGGTAGGCAGCTGAGCACCATGCAGCCACTCACCCTCTCCCCCAGTCGGGTGGGGGAGAGAATCAGAAAGGTGTGAAAATTTGTGGGTTGAGATAAAGACAGTTCAGTAGGTAAAGCAGAAACTGCACGCATAAGTAAAGCCAAATAAGGAGCTCATTTGCTACTACCTTTGTGTTCAGCCTTCCCCAGGGAGGCAAGGCTCCATCACAGAATCATTAATGTTGGAAAAGAACCCTCTAAAATTACTGAGTCCAAGCTTTAACCCTGCCACTACTGTGTTCTTCACTAAACTGTGTTCCAGAGTACCACATCACATACCTCTTGAACAATTGATGTGTGTTGGTTACTTGGCAAGATAAACACTGTCACGCCAAACGTCTCCCCTTCCTTCTTTTTCCTCCAGCTTTTATTGCTGAGCATGACATCAATGGCACAGGATATCCCTTTGGTCAGGGGTGTCAGCTGGCCTGACTGTCTTTCCTCCCAGTTTCTTGTGCATCCCCAGCCTACTCTCTGGTGAGAGAAGCAGAAAAGTTCTTCACTCTGTGTAAGCCCTGTTCAGCAATGACCAAAATATCCATGTGTTATCAGCAGTCTTAGCAAGAATCCAAAACACAGCCCCATGCTAACTACTGTGAAGAAAATTAACTCCCAGCCAAAACTACAGACTCAGTTATGTGTATGTAGATAATTCATGCTGCCTTCTGTTTGATCATTGCAAAATACTGTATGCACATTTTAATATTTCAGTACAACTTTCATGTAAGTTCTGCAAAAATTCAATATTTCTGTTATTGAAGTACCTACAGAAGTTTGTACTGCTGTGCGTACTCTTACAGTATAGTTTTACATGATTTTAAGTACCTTTTTTTTCCTTTTTTTTTTTCTTATTAAGGATTTGAATGTAAATCTGGTATATGAGAGGTATTTGAATGTCTAACTTGTAGTTACCACTGAACAGTGACGATAATTCTGGGGAAACAGACTGTCATCTTTAATGAAAAATCACATGCAATTGATTTTTTGAGCTTGTAAGACACTAAGCATATTATGTGCATTTTGACTCACCTAAAACAGATAGTGGTGTTTGAGAGAGAATCATAGATGAGGTAGAATATTCCATAATGGCAATAAAAGGCAATTTAATTGTGCACATCCAACTCCTTATTCAGCGAGGTATTTATGTGTGTGACAATCTTAAACCTTGCTCCCAGTCTCATTAAAACCAGTCCAGCTACTTACATATGACAACTTAATTACAGCCTTAGAGTTTCTAAAATAATTTAAGACTAAATAGGATAAATTCATCTTGGATGGCTCTTGATGGAATTAAACTGTATCCCTACTTAGCTCGGAATGATTCCAGAGTAACTCAGTGGGAATCAGTGGCATTTTCTCTATCTTGATTCTAAATATAACTGAGCAAAATTTAGATAATATATTGCTTTGTATTTATCATCCAGAGCAGTTTTGTTTGTTTATACAATGTTTGTGAGAAACTCCTGGGGTAGTTCTAGTTAAGTAATAAAGGGTCACTTTTATTTTTATGAATGCATAGCAAAATTAGAACATCAGTTTTTATTTAAACTCTGCTGTACACGTGGCATGTTTCTTTCGGAGTTCTCTCTTGAACTCTGTTGTCTCTGCTATATTGCATTTGAAATGCGCTTGCAAGGATGGTATAAAGATTTGTTAACTTTCTGGGCACATGGAGCTAGCTGACTTGACGACTGGATGTGCAAGCTGCTATATTTGGACTGAAACTTACTGACCTTCACATATCTGGCTTTTCTGTGCTGCAGGCAGGCACTGTGTTGGAGGCCCTTGATGGACTGTCACCTGGAGCAGTGAGAAGCACTTACCCACTGACTTTTGTTGAGCTAAAGCAGGTGAGGATTCCTTCAGCAGTTCCAAATTTACTTTCAGCAATTCCAAAATTACTTTGTAGTAATTTTATGCAGTTTATTTGAACAACCCTCCATGGTATTACTCTTCTTATGTCATGTCTTACACTTTTATCTAGCACACAAGTAATAGTACTATATTTTTACATTGGAGGACTTTTCATATTCAGCAGTGCTCCTGTTTTGCACCTGAGGTTTTCTTCTTCCTGGGGTTGTAAGTGTCTGTGCTGTTTTGGCTTTCACCTTGATTTCTCTCCTCTCTGAAGTATTAATTTTCAGGTCTTAAGAGACTTTTTTTATCATCTTCATAGCTGTCTGTTGGATCTTCTCCAGTAGTTCTTGTCCTCTTTTCCTGAGGAGCCCAGAACTGGACACAGCATTCCAGATGTGGCCTCACCAGGGCTGAGGACCTGCTGTCCATGTTCTTCCTCATGCCCCCAGGATACCATTGGCCTCCTTGGCCCCCAGGACACTGCTGGCTGAGGGACAGCTTGTTGTCCACCAGGACCCCCAGGTCCTTCTCCACAGAGCTGCTTCCCAGCAGATCAGCCCCCAGCCTGTGCTGGTGCATGGGGTTATTATATAAGGCACTTGCCTTTTTTTGAAGTTCATTAGTTACCCAACTCTCCAGCCTGTTAAGGTCTCAGGAATGGCTAGGACTTATTTTTTTCCATTCCCGATGAGGAACTTAGTGAAAATTATTCCAAAATGTTCCTGATGTAAACCATGTAGTATTTAATGGATAATTTGATAATTTTGACTTGATGAATATATCAGTTTATGGGCACTGGGTGAGAAGTGAGCTTACAAGTTTTTTTATATAAAGTCAGTTATAAAGGGATTTTTACCGGTTTCCATAAAGGTCACCCATTACCTAAAGGTCAAAGTAAACTCCCGTCTGAAATGATGTCTGTGATAGTCACTGTCTGAAGTGAATGAAAATTAGCATTTCAGTGCAGGCATGTAGGCAGAAATGTGGGATATTTTTAATTCATGACCTGAATTGAAACTACAGAATGACTTGGTTCATTAATCTGTTGTTTTTTCTTTTTTCTTTTCTTTTCCTAGTATTTTGGGTATGTACTATATAGAACTACACTTCCAAAGAGCTGTGTGGAGCCAACACCACTGTCTTCACCTTTCAATGGAGTCCATGATCGTGCCTATGTCTCTGTTGATGGGGTAAAAACATTGTTTGCTGGTATTAATTTTTGCCATCAGGGGCCTTCATGAAAGTCGAGGATGCAGACTAGGTTTTTGGGGTTTTTTTCCTCCTTTCCTCATCAAAGCAACCCTGATCTTATTTAATCACATGAGGAAATAAGGAAGTATATACTTCCTTATGATTCATACCAGATGTTTAAATTAGTATTTCAAAAAACATGGCTACCTACTGTCTTGACATTTTTGACGTATTTGAATGTTGATACATATTAATGACTGAGGTGAATAAAAGACCTAGGGAATAGATTTACTTGCAGGTTTATGGACTATGTTACTGATATATACTGATATACTTGGTGGATTTCTGCAGTATTTGCTAAGATTTTTTTACTAGTATTCTCTTTTTACTTCCTTTGAGGGTGGAAGAAGGAGGAAGCCTGATGAAACTGGCTCCTAACCACAGTTTCAAAAAAAACCAAAGAAGTTTATTGTACAGAATGTGAACCTAGTCTTTCATTCCATAAGCAGGCTTTTGGCCTTGCTTAATATGAGCTAATATAGATACATGTATTTTGCAGTCAATTTTTTAGTTAATATTTGACCCATATTGACTCTCATCACCTTTGTGTCCAGCTCGAGCTCATTTTTCCTTGTGTTGTGGGAATAGGAATAAATAGAACTAAATATTGGTGCACACATAATTGTAAGATGAAGTCAATGATTAAATCACTGATATTGCCAAAATCTTTTCAGTCACTGGACTAAATCTGGGAACTTGTTTTTTGTGAATCAGGTGCATCAAAACCCACTATCACATGCAAGTTGATGTACTGAAATGTGAATGCTGATGTAGGAGCCCTTTGTGTGTGTGTGTGTGTGCGCTCGCATGCAGGAGGCGGAGAGGAAAGGGGTTTTCTTTTCTCTTTTTTTCCTTTGTCACATTTAATTTCTTCATGCAAGTTAAAAAAACAAATAACAGAACATTTTTGGTTTTCAGTGGTTATTGTTTTCTTCTTGTTGTAATTCATGTAGATACCTCAGGGTGTCCTTGAAAGGGACAAATCACTAATGATAAATATAACTGGGCAAGCTGGAGCAAATCTGGACATCTTGGTAGAGAATATGGGCCGAGTCAACTTTGGTAGATACAATAATGATTTTAAGGTAAGTAAAATCTAATGAGTTATTGGATTGTGATAGCTTTTCATCTTTTCCACAGGTTAAAAAGAAAGTAATGAATTAGCAAGAGCAAAAAGGTCAGGATTAGACAGCTGTAACTTTACCTAAAATATAGCTAGTCACTAGTTTCGATCTGAATTTTTCCAGTCACCAAAATCAATGTGAAATTAAAAGCTGCTAGACATCATTTAAACTTTATTTGTTTGTTCACTTACATTGTCAGCCAAAGCCTCACCCACAAGATTTTCTGGTTCAGATGAGTTTGTAGATAACATTATTAAAATTGTTTCCATAAAGTCAAAAAATGGGCTGGAAATTGGTCCAGAACTTGATTGCACTTTGAGTCTTGTGAATCCTTGGATTGCTTTTGGAAGCTGGGGGGATGTATGTTGTGTGTACATAAATACACCTTTTTATCTTTGTTCTTGTCCCATTTAATTTGTCAGCAGTGTACCCTTGCAGTACTCTTGACTGTGGCTGGAATAGGCTGTCCATGAGCACTTTAGCATGCAAAAATGCCATTTCAAAGTTCAGAGACAATTATCAGAGTGCTTCCCTGAGTTTCTGGGTGTGTGCTACACTTTGGGATTGGCACCTCCACGCATGAGTGGCCGTGGTGGGTTGACCTTGGCTGGCATCCGTGTGCCCGCAAAGCCATGTGCCCGTTCTGTCACTCCCCTTCCACCAAATGGAGAGGGGGAGAAAATGTAATGAAGAGTTTGTAGTTCAAGATAAGGACAAGGGGATCACTCAGAAATTACTGTCATGGTCAAAACAAACTCAACTTGGGGAACACAATTTATTCTTAAATATTTCATCAGAGGTGCTCCCAGAATCACTGATGGGCACAGCAGCGGGTCTGTTTCAGAGTCATCTGGAACTGTCTTTGTCTTACATGGGGCAGCTTTTGGCATCTTCTCAGAAAAGCCCCTGCTGGAGCTTCCCTTGGTAACAAACCCTTGGCATTTAAACCCCATACCACAGGGGTACCACTAATGTAACACTAGGAAGGGCAGGGGCAAAACAGTAACTTTTCTGGTTTTAGTTTTAATGAGATCCCCAGTGCTGTGAGACAGTCGATAAAAGACGGGAGAGCTGTAGATGTCAGTCCTGTATTGCGTTTGTGCTGTGTATAATTTCACAGCATGCCTTTTTTTTCTTTATTTTTGATACTATTAGGATGCAGTAGTGCCAGCTGTGTTCATACTGTTTCTTCAAGGTACTTTGCCCTTATCTGAGTGGCAGGGGAAGGAACCTGGTACCCCAGTGTTTAGCCTTCATGTTGAGGCAGCAGCAACGTTGCTTTTATTTGTTTATTAACTGGCCAAATGATAAGGAAACCTATATATTTAGTGTTTAATTAAGGCAAGTGAATAAAGGTTTAGAGGTTGGATTAAGGAGCTGCTCAATTGCTATGGTTGAGCAGAAATTCAGACTTACACCTTTTAACAGTTTAAGAGTGAAATCAGGTTTAAGAGACATGTCCATGGTGCAAATAATCCTCTAAATGTAGGTTGTAGGTTGCGAAGAGAAGCAACCTTCCTTGGGTGGCTTTGGACTATGTGTGTTGCTTCTTTCTATAGAATCCAGCCCTCATGCTCTCCTTCATGTTGATGTTGGAAACTTAAAAATTCATGTGCTTTTGAAAATCCAATTAGGGGAAGAGGTTCCTGCCTTGTGAAGCCTTGAATTTTTTAGGAAAGAGGATAAATTTTCAGGGTTTTGTTTGGCTGGAGTTTTACCAGTTTTTGAGCTTGAAATAGAGCTAGGCATCTAGCTTTTGGGAAGGACTCTTGAAAAGATTTTGGTTTTAAAACATCTTGTTGATTTAAGTAATTGTTAAAGGACACAAAGGAAGAGTGTGGTTTCTGTTTTTTTATGTGTCTTCTCACATGCACACTGCTACCTATATCTCAGTTTTACTTGGAAAATTTATATCCACATCTTGGTACACTGAGTCAGTAGCCCAAGACATTAACTTGCACAATAGCAGAGAAAGTGGTACTTCCTACAAATCTTCTCCAGATAAGGGTCATTGAATGTGTTTTCTTAGGCAGACTAAGTAAGAATGTTTAGTAGGCACTTAATATAATTTGAAGAATCACCCTGTTCATAGTGCCTACAGATGAGCTTAGGGAGGCAGGTTAGAAGGTTCAGCCTAAAGTTATGTTTCATTACTTCAATTGATTGCTAGACAGAGTCTAGGTTGTATAGAAAATTTTTGTTACTTAACTTGACATCTGCAGGTATTTTATTTTCTGTAAAGTGGATATTAGGTAAAGGAAGAGAAAACCACTTAGTGCTTGTACAGATGGTGAGCTTTTTGGAGACAGTGCCATGCTTATGAGATATCGCAACAGACACACAATCAGCTCTACAAAGCCATGGAAAGTGTGGTTTTGCTTGTTCATGTTTGATGTGTGATGTTTGCAACATAACTTGTGTTGCAGTGAAAACCAGCTTCTATGCAGCATCTATTCAAGCAGTTAAAACCAACCCCTTGCATTGCACTGAAGCACCACTTTAGGAACTATAACAAAATTAGGATGTGTGCAGGGGTAACTTGATGTTCTTTTCTTTCTTGTTAAATTATGACCTTACCTTGCTTTGGCATTTGGTGTGCAAGTACCCCAGTGTGCTGTGAAACACTGTGTGCATGGTCCCATAGAAACGAGACGGGATTCCATGGGCTTGAAGCTGACTGTAAACTAAAAGTATTTCACTGAATTAGGCAAGTGCATTGATTTTATGATGCTGTATCTTATCTGAAGATTTGTGGGAAGTAATTATGACTTTCTCTGCTGTTGTGCAAGTTAATGGCTTGGGTTAATGACTCAGTGCTACCAAGTGATGGTATCTCAGGCTTAATGATATTTAATGTTGCTTCTCCTTTTTATTAAGCCTCAGGTTTTGGAATCATGTTCATGTTAAACCAAAAGAGAAATTTTCCCAGTTACAGGAAAAGAATTTGAAAAAACCTTTGTGTATCAATGAAAGCCTAAAATTTTGAAGAGGAAAAGATCTTTCACAGAGAATAAGTAAAGCCCTTTAAGCAAAGCTTATAACTTGATAAGGTGTTATGACCAGATTCTTATTTTTTTCATACACAGATTGGCAGCCAGCTGTTACTTTGGTTCAGTTTTTATTTGTGACTGATTTATAGTTGCAGCCAAATAACTTCAATAACACAAACTAATTATATTTTTGTGTTGGTTTTTTTCTTCCTTCCTAGGGTCTAGTTTCAAATTTAACTCTTGCTGAAGATGTACTTGTTGGATGGGAAATCTATCCTCTAGACATAGATGGAGCAGTGAACTATGGCATTATTTATCTCCTTCATCACTCAAAGAGATCTGCTGTCAAAGAACTGAGTTATGAAGTACCTACATTTTACACTGGTACTCTTTCAATTCCTGGAGGGATTCCAGACTTGCCGCAAGACACCTACGTCAATTTTCCTGGTTGGACAAAGGTACAAGTTTTTGCTGTATCAACCTCAAAGTCCACTTTAGAAAGCTACCGAAACTTCTGTGGACTAAGTCCACCTCTCTTAGATGGGTAGAAGCTGGTTGTAGTGGTGGGTGTCTCAAATTTATTTAAATTACTAAGAAATAGATTCTTTGCTTTTAGTATATCTGAAGATAAAACATTGAGAAAAGGGAAACATATTCAGATGATACATGGTGTTGATCTAGAAAGCAGAGCATCACAAAAAAAACCCAAGGCAACTGAACCAATCCACCCCAGTTTTTCAACAGTGAGAAAGATTAACTGTCAGTCTGTTTAGAAGAGTTGCATTTAGTTGTGCGGGGTTTTCTTGGATGATATTTGAGGTGCTGTGCGCTGTATGGATCCTGTTGTAAAACATAAAGTGTTGGACTTTGTGGCTGGTGATGTGCCACAGATAAGGATCTAGTGCATGGAGAAGGTTACCAATACCTGGACTGAATGGATTATGGAGGCACTGCTGTGAGAAGCTTGTGGGCATCTTTGCCAAGGGGAATTTCTCACAGGGCTGGAGTGTAGCTAGAGCACGAAGGAGTGTGTTTTCACCGTGCCATCTTTCAAACCACCAGCATGCAGGATGGGTGAGAAGCAGCTCAGCTACCTGGTAGGAGGCACAGGGAACAGAGTGTGTGCACTGAACTGCAACTTCTCTTGGAAGCCTTAGTGTTTAAAGTCCAGGCTTTAGGGAAGTGCCTGTGGCAGTGTTAGGTAGCAAAATTGTTCTTTTCTAAAACAATTTACTGCTATTAAAATAAAGTGGGAGAAGGAGCTGCTGTTAATTTCTCTCCACTGCCAGTATTGTAGCAGTTAAAGCACTTGAAGAAGGCTGTGATTCAATGCATGCTCTTGGTGTTGATGATGCTGGATGAGGAAGCCTGACTTAGTCCCTGTTCCTATATACATGGATGTCACACGATTGCTGAATAAAATTCAAAAAATAGCTTTTTTTCATGGAAACTGGAATTTTAGACCCTTTTAGTAAGTTCTGTGACCCTATCAGTCATAAATCTTGTTCAGGAAGTGAGGTGGCTGTACTTGCCAGTTGGAAAACTCATATTTAAAATGGCAAGGTAGTCCGAGAATTCTTAGGTACTGGTAGAAATCTTTTCCTCTGATCTGTGGAAACCTCTGTTTTACATAGTTTGTAAAACACAGTTTGTAAAGCAGTCCTGGGAAGAGATTCTAGATGAACTTAAATTTGGCTGTTGAATTTATCCTTCAAGCTTTATATGGATTGGACAAGAGTTTTAAGTAAGATACCTGGAAACTGAGATTTTCAGATAACTTTACAAATGAGCAAATTTACCTTTAAGGTAGAGGGCCTTAAAGAGTGTAAATTCCACTCAGGTCCCACTGTATGTGGGCCTAAGTTCCTTGCATGGCACTGTGTAAATAGCTTAAGCGTGGAGTGGGATTCTTAATAGGGGATAAAACTCACCTATCTGAGTAGTTGAAAAACCACAGAAGCAGCACTTACCAAGAAAACTTAAAGTCCTAATGATGGTTTTGCCTTTGCAAAGGCAAGGAATATAGCATGAGAGACAACCTGGAAGGAGAGGTGCAGTATTAACAGTCAGGACCCATGTTATAGCTTTCTTGCCTTCAGAACTTTTTAAACCCTTCAGTAGTAATAAAACTTACTCCACTCTCACATGAGGAATCACGATGCCCTTAAGCATACAAGCCACTGAGTGAATATTTAGATTTATTGGACCTTTTTTTTTCTTCAGAAGAAAAGAGGATTTGGAGTCAGGACTGTTCTTGTTTTTCTGTGGAATCATGGGCTATAATTGCTGTCCCTGCTAAAGGAAATCTTGCTAGTGAAGATGAAGTTCCTCCCTCTTTTATTTTTTCTAGGGTGTACTTAGTAGATATAATGTCATAATTTGCTTGTTTAGTCCCGAGTGTGGAGTCTTTAGAAACTGCAATGTTAATAAAGACAATTTGGAGTTGAGAAATTTAAGTTCTTCGCTTTACTGGAAAAAGGAGTACAACCAGTGACTGATTCAGATCTGAAACAGAGACCTGTCTGATCATATCTGCTGCATCAGAGCTCTAGTGCAGTTGATTCCCACAATAAAAACTTACTTCCCACAGGTTACTGTCATTCTCTGTGAGAGGAGGGCTACTGTCTAGTGTGTACACTCATCCATCTTGTGCATGGGGAGTTGGTGTTCATGCCATGTTTTCCTCTAAACTTACTACAGAAAGTAGTGAGACTGAATAAAGACAAACTTGATTTAAAAAAGAAAAAAGCATTTGAGGTCAAGGTTTATTAACACCTTGGCAAAACAGTGCAAGATAGGATCTTGTACCACGGAAGTGGATACAGAGGTGAAATAACGGCATTTGTACATTATGAACTCCTTAAAAAGTTTCTCTTGTGAGTTTCATAAAATTTGTTTTCATAAATACCCAAAAAAGGAAAAGTACTAGAAAAATACCACTAAAGCAGCTTGAACAGCAATACTTGTTACGTTACATTTGTGCTTCTGTAAATTGTGTTGAAATATTCTTATTTCAGCTATCCCAGACAACTTTGTGAATCACTGAATGCAGTAAAATTCCTACTTTCCACTGATTCAGACAATTTTATTATGTTTATCAGTGTATATCCATGCCATGAGTCTGGTTTTCCTCTATGTTTTGATTAGGACCAAAGGACCAAACCAAGAGGGAAAAACATGGATGCGGTTTTCTGTTCCGATCCCTTTTCTTGATACTGAGCTCTTGTTTGATATACAGGGAAAGGACACTTTGGAGGAGTAAAAGCAAATTATTTATGCAAATCAGCAGTATATCCTCACTGTCTTGCTTGAGAACCAAGACTCAGCTCAGCTCTGTAGGAGTCAGTTTAGAGTTTTACTAAATGTTCTGTAGCCTGCCAATTTATAGACTTTTGGAAAAATATGCATGTATGTCACTTCAATATGTCTATAGATAAATTAGTGTTTTGACTTTTTTCCTTGCCCCTTTTTTTTTTTTTTTTTAATCTTTTGAATTTAGGGCATTTATGATGTTAGGACAGTATTTTGAGCTAGGGGTTCTGACCACCTCAACTTTAAAAAGCAATTTTAAGAATTTGTATGCCACAATTTTATCATACTTAAAATAATACTAGCAGATCCCAAGGCTTTCAATGGTTGTGTGTAACTACAGTTTTAACAGTACGTTATTGCAGTGTCATTTCACAAGTACTTTTGTCAACTAAGTTACTACAAATAAAAGAGTCATCTGAATTTTATGTGTCCAGACAAGCTGTATCTTGCCCTTGAAATCAGAGAGCAGGGACTACCAAGGTATTGTATTCTTATACAGAGAAGCGTAACAGCATTAGGATCTGCTTTTTTCTTCTGTGACTTCATTCTCCTTTTAACAACTAGCTTCAAGCAAATACAGTTTTCAGATTTGTTTTGGTCTTAAACTTGGGTCAAAAATCAATGCAAGGAGCCTGCAGTTGTTTTCCTAATTATTGTCATGTTTGGAATTACTGCAGTATTTTACCACTTTCTTTTTAAATATTAGTGATGCTTTAACTGCTCAGGGAATTTAAGTACTTTTGACTGTCATTAGCATTTTCTTGTACAGGTTTTCTATCTTTGTGTTCAATCAAACTGAAAGGTGAAGGGAGTTCAGTTACTATATCAAGAATGTTATGCTTAAGTCTATTTAGTCATTTCATCTCTGACAGGTTAATAAAATGTTGGTTTTTTCTTTCTCTTTTAACAGGGGCAAATTTGGATCAATGGCTTTAATCTTGGTCGCTACTGGCCAGCCCGTGGTCCTCAGCTGACCCTTTATGTTCCAAGGAATGTACTTGTTGCATCAGAGCCAAACAACATAACGGTGTTGGAGCTGGAGCGTTCTCCTTGCAGCACCCAGGCGTGCGAAATAGAATTCGTAGACAAACCTAATATCAATGCAACCCTACAGAATGAAACTGATAAACCCCCACTCTTTGTGAGAGATCTATGGATGAAGCATCTATAATGATTTGAGTATTTCTTTATCTTCCCCTCTCTGCCCTTTGCTTCCCTTTCACTCAAACCATACTGATTAACACTGAGTCTTTGAAAAAGCGAAGTTGTTTAGGTGAGGCAACTTCTTAAATTCTTCAAAGACTTTTTAAAAATCTCTCATTTAAATATTGAATTTCTTTTTAAAAATAAAAGCTGGAGCTTTGAAATTTGTCTTGGACTGTGGCATTGAGCTCAACTGGAAGGTAATGTTTCCATCAGCCTAGTAAAAATGTAGTCCTTGTACTCCGCTTACACTGCAGTAACCTTCCTATGCTTTTGTTTTTTACCATGTTTTTCCACTGGAGAGGAGCCTACAAAAGGGATGTGCAGCCCCCACTACTTTGCTGGTTTCACTTAAGTGGACTGGTAAATCAGAGCTGCCAATAGACAATACACTTTCAGCTCCCTTAATCACCTTATTAGAGTATTAAAATAATTTTAGTTTCATTTGGTCCACTGTCAGCATTGAATGGACCTCATTTTTTAAGGCAAGTGGCTTTGGGGAAATTTTAGTTCATTTCTTACAGGACCAATGAGAAAAACTGTGGAAGAGAGAAATCAAATGCCAGATGTCCAAACAGCAGCAACATGGAGTCTGCATCTGTCCCTTCTTAGAAAGCCAATTTACTGCTTCCCTATTGCTTTCTCTGAAGACTTAAAGTAAATTGATAAGTACAAGGACATGTGAATTTCAGCCTACTTTGGTGGAACCACAACCTCTGACTAACTTGCCTACAGAATGTGGTTTTAAAATGATGAAATTTTTCTTTATTTTGTCTGGTTTGGGTTGGGTTTTTTTTGGTTTGTTTGTTTTGTTTTATTTATTTTTCTTCCTAGTGGTCATGGAGTACCTGCTCTTCATATGTCAACACCTTGGAAGCAGAATGCTTGAAGTTAAAGAATTTTATTTCTCTTTTAGTCATTAATTCACATCACCTGTTTTGTTCCAGTAAACTGATGGTCTTTGTAAGTACCTGATATTTGCAGAGGTGTACAAACTCCATCAGTACCTCTGACTTTCTGCAGGCAGAATCTTCTTTGTCATTCTTGTAATTTTGGTGTCAGTCATGCAAATGCCATGGTGATATTTAAACAACAGAAGATGATCAAATCAAGTATTTTCATAATCTATGATTTTTCCTTTGATTTTTGTCTGACATTATTAAAATTGTTCTTTAAAGATTAAATATTTCCTCTGTGTGTTTGAGAAAGAAGAAAGGGACAAGAGAATTATGAGCAGTATTAAGGGAGAAATGAGATTGTTACGTGTCCATGGATGAAGAACTATTCTTGTTGATGTCTTGTTTATTTTCTCTGTTATCAAGAACTGTATAAATAAAAATGAAGTAGCTGTAATGGGCTGAGCTTGCCACCCTTTTCTGAGATGGCCAGTGCAAAATCCTGGACCAGTGCTGTCACTGGATAAGAAAGTATAAAAGAGCACCACCCATTTCATGTCTGCTACATGTTTGACATATTTGATGGGCTTTCAAAGGAGGCAAATGCAGCTCATCCAAGACAGAGAGGTTTGTTCTTAAATTCTGACCTCAAATGTCAATTCTAGGGACTGAGGGCAGTGTGTTCAGTACCCAAACGTACTTGATTCTTGGAATGGTCTGCTTTGAACCCAGATTTTTTTCTTTCTTGGCACCATCCTTATGGAGAACCTGGAACATGCTCTGCATGCAGTTAATTGTCAAGTATTAATTGCCTCAGAGCTAGGCCTTGAAAGTAAGGGATGAAACAGAATTGGTTTTGAACTAATTATGGTTTTTGTGGCTTGGAGTGTACAGAATTACAGTACTATTCATGTATTATTTAAGCTCAGTGCTGTAACAGCTGGGAGTATTTTTATTTGTATGGCAGTTTGTGCTGTAAGGGCAGTGATACTCCTGGTTCTCACTTTAACTTCAGCTTCAAGTTGTACTTGTGAAAACGTAACGTGATCTATGAGACTTCACTTTTCACCATAGCTATGTAATATTACCAGCAGAAAGGCTTTGCATCAGGAATTATAAACATGCATCTGATTAGTTCTAAGAATAACAATAACAATGTGAAAAGAATGGGTTTGAAGTTTTTCAGGTAGGGCTCTAGATAGCTTCTTTAACACACCTGCCTATTTACTGCTTTCAGTGGTCTCCTGTCTACAGAAAAGAGCTGCAAGTGGTGGCCCTGATTCCTAATCCTCTTTTACCTACATGGAAACACTGCTGGAGATGGTATTTGAGTATGCAGAAGGGCCTGGGACTTACCTTAGATTTCCTAGCCTTGCCATGGAGTCCTGCTGAGACTGAGTGTGATACAAAACAGGACAGCATGGCATTTGCTCCTTTGCAGCCTCAGGCAAGTCAGTTACTTTAACCTATCCTCAAATGTAGTTCAGCCATGCCCGAGGTGGAAATGTAATCAGAATGAAACCTTCTGACTGAGGGTAAATGAGAAAGAGAAGAGGGGCCATAGGGAGTTACCTGGCTTGCCTTTACCCAGTGGGAAAGACACTGGTGGGTCTAGTTTCAATTTGTTTTTGAAAGGCAAGATGTGAAAGCATTGTCAGACCCCTGGCTAGTATGTGTGGTGTACCTGTATGAAATATTCCAAGTGCTGGAATTCAGTGGGATGGTCTCTCTGGTGGAGCCTGCTGCCTCCTGATGGCCTGGCAAGAAGGAATATTCCTAATGCTAAAGCTGTGGATCCTTAAATCTTTCCTGGTGCATCTCCTTGGGAATTTCCAAGTGCTTTGCTTACATAGGAGCTGAGTAATGAGCACAACGTTCTCTGATTTTGGCAGACAGTGCAAGTATGGTATTTGGTCGGAATTAGTTCATAAAAAAACATAAGTTTTACACTGATCCCCTCTGGAAGGTAGGCAGAATGCTTGCAATTCTGCAATCCCCCTCTGTAGGGGGATGTCCTTTGAAATCTACCCATAGAGCCACTGTAGTGGCTTAGCTTAGCACAGATTTATTTTTTTTTCACGTCTGGTGTGGGGTTTGTAGACTTAGTGTGTAATCCTGCCTATGCATGAATGAAAGCCTTTAAATGTGATTTTTTGGGATGAATAAGCAAAAAGAAGAACACAAACTGGCAGTGTGCTGTATGGTTGAATTCTATTAACTTATGTATGAGACTCTTTCATAATGTAACTATCTTCTGTGTGTTAATCAACATTTTCTAGTCCTTGAATGGCAGGATTGAGACTTGCTCTTGACTTCCTTTAGACTCTCTGTGCCTTTTCTAATTCTCTGGTGCTGACAGCTTTCCAGTCTCCTACTATCCAAACTCCTTGGGACTTCCACAGTGCCTGTTGTTTCCTTTTCCAGTTTTTTGGGTGAAATACTCATTTTTGTGTGCACAGTTTGAATACTTGCAGGAGTGATTAGAAATAATCCTTCTGCCTGGACTACAAGCACTACCCACCTGACAGATGGGTAGTGTCAGGTTTTCAGAAATGACAATTACAGAAGGATAATCCTGTGGTTTGCAGTGTGCTTGGAAGGAGGTGATGCTGTTACTGTACAGGCTGACAAAGTAACACCATTTTAATAGATAATACAGAATGAAGGGTTTGTGAGAGTTTATCTAGCCCTGTGTCTCTCTACCCTAAGGCAACATCATTTGTATCTTAAATATTCTCAGTATATTTCTTTTGAGGAGGACTCCAGTCTTTCCTGGGCAAGTTATTCTGGTGTTTACTGTTGGGGAACTTGTCAACAGTAACTGAGACCATCATGGTCTTGGTGTATGTAAACCAGCTATCACTTTCACTGTCCACAGCCAACACAAAGTGTATATTTGTGCTCTGAGGCTGTTTTTTGCCCTCTCCATTACTTTCTTATTTCTTTAAACTGGGTTTAGATAAATTTCAAGAGGTGCAAGATAACACAGAGACAATTTAGCAAAGATGTGAAAAGACAACCAGCTCTCAAATGACTTGGTCCAGGTGCTACAGCATCTCTTTTTGATAGAAATTACTGAATTACAAGAAAGTTGTCTTGCAGGCTGGGACTTAAAGGCACAGCAGTTAACCACAAAGTCCTGGCTGGGAGATCGTGTGACAGAAGAAGCTGGAAACTGCAGAAGAATGGGGTCTGTTTTAGTAGTTCTTCAATGAGAAGGGAAAAGTAGGGAAAAATAGATTATCCTAGAACTTGGTCCCATGGGCTGAATGGAAAAATGTTGGAAAAGTGCATCACAAGGATCTTTCTTATGCTTTTATGCTTCTTATGCTGAATAAAGTGTGTATGTTTAAAAATTCCTTTTCAGAAAATATTCCCTGTTGCTTGTTACTTTATCAAGTGACCTTCCCCAGCTTTGGGGGAAATATTGAAGCTCTGTGTTACCTCAAGATGTTTCACAGAACCAGAGCTTATTTCAGGTAAAGCAATCCCCTTTGACTAGGATATATGATGTGGCCAAGGCATTTGGGATATATTTAAGAATTCCTGTTTTGGGCTTTAGCACATACACCTGTCCCTCAGGAGGCGAGTATATAAAGAACTTCAAAGCCATGGTCTTAGGAAGGTTCCACATTTAACTCTGTGGAGTTGGAATGGGAAGCACAGTCTTGTTCCTGAGACTCCCCCGCATACTTTGATAGCAAACTCTGTGCCAGCATCATGGTAAAGCTGCTGTCTTGAGCTTTGGTATTGTGCTTATAGCTGCTGTGCTTATATTAAGTTATGATCATAACTTAACCTTTTAAAATCTTTTGGTAGACAAGAGAGGGGAAAAAAACTAATGAAACTAATGAAATTGAGAATTTGAATGAATTGAATTTGAAACTCCAACTGGAGGTACATCTGTTGAATAACAGTGCAAATTCAGTAGGAAATTGCAGCCAATATCTGTGGTCTGAAAGGCTTTTCCTGTTTAAGTTTTTTTATTCACTGTAAGTATATGCACTGTTTTTATTAAACTTGGTTCTTCTGTATGGCTCATGCTTCTATACTAATATTAACTGACCATTTTCAGTGTTTGTAAATGTGGGCCAGAGCACAGATTTGCCCAGTGTGGGCAGATGCCTAGCAACTCATCCCCCCTCTAATGCCATAGCTAAGAAATTCTTACCTATTTCCTGTTTCACTCTTCCTGAACTCTTTCTGGCTCTTCCTCTCTCAGTAGGGAAGTCTTATGTGTAGAGAAACTAAAAAAAATTTCCTTCAATATGTCTTTGTTTGTCTAAAATGGAGTTGATCTCCGATACTTCCTCCTACCATTGGCAGTCATTGGTAGACATCACCTATTTTCAATTCACAAAACAATAGGTTAGATGATACCTGGTTTACTTTCATTGTGGTTGCTGGTGAGCAAGCACCTTCTTTGGACACATAACCATGCTGTTGTGCTTGTCCTGCTCAGTGGGTGAAAGAACATTCAGAGATTCCCAAGACTTTTTCTCTCTCTGACTTTAAGGATTTGGCACAGCTCACAAGATCTCTTCTCTCAGAGGCAGAGGGCTTTAAAAACACACAGAGCTCAGCTCACATTTTTTGTTGTATTTGTTCTCTTTTTCTCATTTGATAGAACTCTGTTTTTTTGTATAAGAATAAAGGCACTGAGTTTGCCTAAGGTCCATCTAGCCCAGTATCTTCTTTTGAAGTAGAGCATATCTGATTATCTTCTTTTGAGTTTCAGCATCTGGAATTTTAAGGCAAAGTCTTTTTTTTGTACAAAGTTGAGCTGGAATTTTAGTGCTTTTAAGCTCTTTTCAGTACAACAGACTCAGCTTTGACTGCTGATTCAGCTACTCACTTGCCATGACTCAGTTTGCAAAAATAACACCCCCAAAACTCTGAAGTTCACACTGTGTAAGGCAAACTGGAGGACAGCAATTGAAATAATACTTTGAAAGTATAAGCTCTTTTCAACAGCTTTGTTTGGTGCTCCATAGTGTATTCTGCTTTGGGAGATTGCTCTTTTGTTGTCAGGGTGTAGACCTTTTGATGAAAAATTATGATTCTGATTTGGCTTTGAAAGAATGTTCCTGTCCTTTCCTGTGAAGTTCTTTGTTTTTTCCTGTTACCTGTTTTAGTGTGTTCATGCAAATTGGTGAAACCCCCTGCTGATTACAAATGTCAAAACCTCAAGTAAATTGGGCAGGCAAGTTAAAAAGAGATAGGAGTTTAGTCTTCAAACCTTTGTGATCAAGGACAATCACACATTGACTGAGAATTGTTGGGAAGAA